CCGAGGCAGAGCCCTGCTTGCCCCGGTCGGGCTAGTTAAGCCGTGGGGTCGCCACATCCCTGGAGTTCGCATAGTATCGATGAGGCTTTCCCCTAACCACGCAGTCCTTGGCCTATGCTGTTCCACCGTGACGGAGGGATTTTTTTAGTGGTTCGCCTTCCACTTGGCCGGCCAGTTAAGGCAGGCCCTCACGCCCTAAGATACTTCCTCATCAACCACCGATCTTAGAGCGCGAGATACACCAGGCAGGTTTCCACGGAGGGCAGTCGACTCGGCCCCATCCCGAAACAGGGCTGCGAGACCCAGATTGCGGGCTGAGGCCGAGTCGAGTGTCCTCCTCCACGCTGTTTGTCTAGCAGACACCCAGCATACCAGGATGCTGTGTGTGTGCTTTCCTGGTATGGTGAGCCACCTTTGGTCACGACCAAACGTCTCCACATCTCTGCAGCGACGCCGACGTACGGCCGCTGAGCCTCTCCACCAACGACAAGGTCCCGTGTCTCCCCAGAGAGTCACAAGGGTATCGGCGCTTGACAATAATAGTTTGGGCCGTGTTCGTTATTGTCATCTTTTTCGTCGATTTGCTCCGAAATTTTGACAAGCACGTGACTGGATCAGACAGTTTCAATCGACAAATCACGTGCCTGTCAAAATTTCTGAGCAAATTGACGAAAAAGATGACAAAAACGAACACCGCTTTATAATCCTTGGTTTGTGTCAATCGTTCGTCGGCAGTCATTGTCATTGGCTGTCTTTCTCCGTCCCTCTACGTTATATTTTTCTTCTCTCTCGAGTAACTAAATTTGACAAAATTTGACGCGTCTTTCAAATCACGCTCCATTATCGTTCAAATATCAGACCGCCGCCTAAGAAGTTTCACTTCAAAAATCGGAAACGATAGAAACTAAGTATTATTATAGTTAAGAAAAAGCTTCAAAGAATAAACCGATTATTTCTCTTTTGTCATTTTAAAAATGTACCTACATGAACATGTACATGTCTTTTTTCAATCCTGTTCATTAGGGAAAGATGGAAAACAACCAGCTGCTGAACGGAACGGATTAACCCAAACTGAAATACTAGAGATGGGCACTACTATCGGTTAAAGACTGTAGATTTATTCGACTGTTGTCGCTTATTCAATATTTAAAGTAAATCAATGTATTTAATAAGACAAGAGCCAGGAGAAAAGTCTACGTGTTTTTTTTTTCACTTTCACCGGTTAATAGGTATAAAACCCGGTTATAACTGGAGGCAAAAGACCGATTGGTTTTTAGCTGATTAACCGGAGAGAAAACACCGGTTTTTCGGTTTTGACCACCGGTTTTTGACATCTCTAAATTGTGTACCACAGGCGCAAGTGGTGTTTGAGGCCCTTCGCGTGATTAAACTTTTCGGCTGCGGCTCGTGCCAAACACCAAATTTGCCTCCTTGGTACATAAATACCCATTTGTACGACAGGGCCACAAAGCACCTATTTGCACTCTAATTTGCGGGCGCAATTTGATACTTTTTGGCCCGCAGCGTTGCAACGTCCACCACCATGATGTAGGTGTCAAAATTGAACGAGCACGAAATGGATATATTTTTACTTCAAGAACGTCCCAAAATGTTCAAATTGGATGTTCATTTGTAATATGATTAATGTAGTTTCTACTTGTAATTTACGAATAACTTCCATTTTTCATTCTGTTTATTATTCCACTTTGAAGGCAACTTGCGTTCATTATATTCATGTTTTTTTTTTTCAAATAATATTTGAATTAAATAATTACACAGTATTTTTACAAGTTTTTCTACTTTTGCTTTGTCTTTGTGCTGCCCATCGCCAACGCATAATAATTATTCACTAAACCACCTTCCAGTCCACCACCATGCAGGTGCGTTCAAATTACCGCCATTGGCGTCAGCGATTTTCATTCGATGCACGCTGCACCAGTGGAGCAGTGCACCCGAAACTCGGTGACGCACTTAAGGTCAAATTGAGAGAGCCTTACCTACACTACGCGCGCCTATCACACTGTGCCGACCCAATGTTGTTTGAGAGAGGTAGGTTGCCTGATAACTTTTATGACGTCATCTATATGGCAAAAAAACATACTTGCTTATGAGTTTTTGTATTAAAAAACTAAAATAAAACTGCCAAAGTAGTATTTTACTTTTATTTAAAAATCAAATTTGTATTTTTTTTGCCAATGCCCACTCTCATAAAACGCGACGCGGACACGCAGTCGGAGCAGTATGCAGGTCAGTACAGTGTGGTAGGCGCGCGCAGTGTAGGTAAGGCACTTTCAATTTGACCTAAAGTGCGTCACCGAGTTTCGCATGCACTGCTCCACTGGTGCAGCATGCATCAAATGGAAATCGCTGTTGCCAATGCCGGTAATTTGAACGCACCTACATGGTGGTGGACTGGACGGTGGTATAGTGAAAAATTGTTATGCGTTGGCGTTGGGCAGCAAAAAACAAGCAAAAGAAGAAAAACTTGTAAAGATATTGTGTAATTATGTCAGGGCCAGTTTATTCACCTTCTGATAAACTGTCAGGTATGCAATCTGACGGATAAAAACGCAGTCTATAATCCCATTGGTCGGCCAGTTATCCGCCGACCAATAGAATCACAGAACGATAGATTTATCTTGCAGATAGTTATCAGTAAGTTTATCTGAAGATGCTCAAACCGGGCCTAATTCAAATATTAATTGAAAAAAAAATATATAAATACATAATGAACGCACCTCTCCTTCAAAATGAAATAAAAAACAAGATGGAAAAGGGAAGTTATTCCCAAATTACAAGTAGAAACCACATTAACCATACAAATAAACATTCAATTTGAACATTTTGAGATTTTCTTGAAGGGTAGAAATAACCTATTTGTACCCAAGGTTGTTTGAAAGAGATAGGTTGCCTGATAACTTTTATGACGTCATCTGGATACCCGAACATCGATGAACTATAAACTACACGTACCTGGAATGGATCCGCCCGTTGTCGGATATGGAATATTTGTCTCCCTCTTAGTGTGTCAAAGGATAACTATATAGTGAGGGATACCTTTCTCTCTTCAGTTCATTACTGTTAAATTTGGTATATTCCTAACCCCAAATATAATATTTTTTTAAATAAGGAACGATTCCCATAATTCGTCAATAAGATAAATAGAGATAGGTATCCCCCACATTCTTCATCACAACTTGCCACAATTTTATAGATCGGTGTGACCATTCCACGTACGTGCAGTTTATAGTTCATTGCTAAACATAATACAAATCCAAGGTAGTTTGAGAGAGGTAGGTTGCGCCTGATAACTTTTATGACGTCATCTGTATGCCTAACCATAATGCAAATCTCCATAAGATGACGTCATTCGTTCACCAATAACGGACAACCTATTAACTTAAAGAACTTTGATTTTACCAGTGTTCGTTCATTTTTGACACCTACATCATGGTAGTATAATTGCAACAACGCGGGCCAAAAAGTATCAAATTGCGCCCGCAAATTGAAGTGCAAGTAGATGCTTTGCCTGTCCTAAGGTATTTATGTTAGTACTAACACCAAGGGGGCAGTTACGGTGTTTGGCACGAGCCGCGGCCGTGGGATTTATTAACGCGGAGGGCGTCCAATACCACTTGCGCCTGTCGTACACACAAGATTTTATGTATGACCAGGGCCGGTCCAATAGTTATTATATACCGAGGCAAAGTTCAATTCTGGCGCCCCCTTCTCAAATTGTATTGTCAAAATGGTTAAAGACTAATATGGTGAACGATGAGTTTGAAGCTATCGTTTAGAGAGTTAAGACAAAAAAAACTTCATTATAAGGTGTGTTCTCACAGAAATCACAAACCAGTCGGAGTGTTTTTGATTGATGCAAATCGCCAGCAACCAGTTTTATGATAGTTTAAAATCACAACCAATGAAATTCGGTCTGAAACGCTCTGACTGGTTTGTGATTTCTGTGAGAACATAACTATAATCTACATCATCGAACATTATATAACCATCGAGTGTGTTCAATGGTCGAAGGTTATAACATTTTCCTGCAGCAAACGTCTATTTAATCTCTTTTTTGAGACAAAGACGAGACTATAGATGATCGAAGGTGCCGTGATGAGCGGTGACAGGCGTGAAGCGACAGTGGTGACACATAAATTAACTATTACCGGACAATGTTGTCGAATCTTTTATTTCTCCCTATTATCCTTGTGGCATGAATCATTTTTTTAATCAACTCGAAATACATTTGTTTGCAATTTGGCGCCCCCAATCGTGGCGCCCTAGGCGGTTGTCTCGGTTGCCTGTGCCTAAATCCGGCCCTGTGTATGACCGAATAATTATGATATTCAAATTTTACTTCTTAAAAAAAATTGAGCTAAATAATGAACGCACCCCCCATTCATAGTGGAAAAATAAACAAAAATGGAAGTTATTCTTAAATTACTAGTAGAAACTACATTAACCCTCAAACAAACATTCAGTTTAGTCATTTTACACAGCAACTTGTAGAATATTCCCATATCTCTGCGATCACGTGACTAAAAATCCTTCTGATCTGCGAGTTATACGAAACGCAGATTTTTGACGTGAACTCGTGAACAATTCGGGATTTTGTTTTAATTGTCAATAAATGTCATTACGTCAGTTTTCCCGCCAATAGATCAGCGCTGCCAGATCTAGGGATTTTTCGGTAGTTCTACCGACTTTTGATTAGTCCACCGATTCAGAATTTGAATACTGCGGTTAAATGGTGGAAAAAATTGAAAAATGTAGAAAATACCTGGTTGTGTGGGCACTGTAAAAAACGATTCTTATTTAAAAATTAGTGTTAAAAGTTTTTTTTGGAGATATATCGATATTTGAGTTGGAGATCTGGCAGCACTGGAATAGACCAAGGATCCTCTACAAGTTGGGAGACTTGTATATTCTCTTTCTTCACAACAGCCAACGAGGTAGGTACCTACATATATCAATTTCAATCTTATTATTATGAGTAGTGGTTTTCGACATATCCTTTATTCTCTAATACCTATTACAGCCAGATACACAAGAAAATAGTAACCCGAATTCCATACTGGAGGATATTGGCAATAAAACAATGGAATCATCGGACTCGTCAGAGGACAAGGTATTTATTTTTTTTGTAGAAATAAAAAGCACTCGTGGCCGTTTGCACCGACCATTTTAAGGAAGCCTTAGCGATAAGTATTTCCTAAAAGGACATTTTTACACAGAAAAATGTCACTTTAAGGAATTCTTATCGCTAAGAGTTCTTCAAAATGGTCGGTGCAAACGGCCATTAGTCCTGCCCATTCTCAATATGGTCTTAGTGCCCTTTTTTTTAGCTTAGCCGGTCCTCGGCCTCGTTTCTTTGCCAAATATTCGGTTGCTGTTGCTATGTATTGTTGGTTGCATAATTTCCTAGGCTTTTTCAATGTCATTGTTTTTCCTGTTTTGGCTATGTTCCGATATCAACTGTCAGTACTGAATTTACTGAACGCCGTTCCGATATTATTTTCAGTACACTGGATTCGATTCAGTACTGGATGACCACAAGAGTACGCTGTTGAAATCGGAACGGCAAATAACAGTAAAATCAGCACAGTAAATCCACTACTGGCAGTTGATATCGGAACATAGCCTTTAAAGGTTGGGTTAGTTTGGGGTTGGCAGTTGGAAATAACAATTTTATTTTTATTGATGTGAATTCCCATGGCGACTTGTGTGCACTTGTGTGTTTGTGAATAATTGCCGAATATTCGCCGAATACCTTATCACTGCTGGCCGAATAACGAATATTCGGCATTTACTCAAAAGTGGCCGAATATTCGGCAAACCGAATACTCGGTGCATCCCTAAAATATTGTGCAAAGTGCTTACAAAGCTCAGCACACGGCATTTTAAAATTTGCAGCACACAGCAACTTAAAATTTTTAGCACACACCAAATTTGAACGTTTTTCACAGAGCAACTTCAAATTTATAACGCACAGCAAATTTGAACATTCTGCACACAGCAACTCTAAATTTATTTTGTTACGAAAATGCATCGACTAACCGGCGCCAGGATTACAAGGAATTAGGTACTTGTCAAGTTCGGATAGCGCGCCTTTTCCTGGAATTCTATTATATTCGATTCGATGTTTTTCTAGCTGAATCCAGAGTACAATTTCGACTATACCAGTCTGTATCAGCCAAATGGAATAAATTCCATAATAAATAAATGAGGAACTCTTAGAAAAACGCTCGGACACGTCGATTTTGTTTTTTTGCTTGAGATTTTTTCACACCAATTTTTTTCATCTAGGGTGTTCCAAGCACAGCTGTACGGTCATCAACTTTATTCTTTTAAATGGTACCTCCTGTGTATTATGTTATTTCTGGATTCTGTGGAAAATTCTAGACATATTTTATGACAATGTCATATACCTACCTATCTACAACTGTTTCGGAAATATTGACAGTTGAAAATTGACTTTTTTGCAACTTTGACAGGCTGTAAAACCTGAACGGTTAATTTTACAGCAGCCCCGATTTTATATGTCGGGGAAGTTAGCAGCACATTCGAAGCAGGATCGCTAAAACGTGTTCCTGCTTGTGCTGCTATGGTCCTGCTTCAAACCGCAACTCAGCAACACCCACCGTTTTCGAAATATATCGATTTCCATTTCGGTTGCCAACTTCACCCTTGACAACACATTGGAATCAGGATCGCTGAAACAGGTTCCTGCTTGTGCTGCTATGGTCCTGCATCAACCTGCTTCAAATCTGATCCCGGCAACACTTACTATTTTCGAGATATAGGGATTTCCAGTATGGTTGGTTACTTTACCCTTGGCTTGGCAACACATTGAAAACATGATCGCTCCAAAATGTTCCTGCTTGTGCTGCTATGGTCCTGCTTCATCCTGTTTCAAATCACACCCCGGCAACATGTACTATTTTCGGGATACAGGGATTTTCATTATGGTTCGTAGCTTCACCCTAGACTTGGAAACACATTGGAAGAAGGAACGCTCAAACATGTTCCTGCTTGTGTTGCTAGGGTCCTGCCTCATCCTGCTTCAAATAACACCCCGGCAACACTTACTATTTTCGAGATATAGGGATTTCCGTTATGGTTGGTTACTTCACCCTTGGCTTGGCAGCACATTGAAAACATGATCGCTCCAAAATGTTCCTGCTTGTGCTGCTATGGTCCTGCTTCATCCTGTTTCAAATCACACCCCGGCAACATGTACTATTTTCGGGATACAGGGATTTTCATTATGGTTCGTAGCTTCACCCTTGACTTGGAAACACATTGGAAGAAGGAACGCTCAAACATGTTCCTGCTTGTGTTGCTATGGTCCTGCATCATCCTGCTTCAAATCACACCCCGGCAACACTTACTATTTTCGAGATATAGGGATTTCCGTTATGGTTGGTTACTTCACCCTTGGCTTGGCAGCACATTGAAAACATGATCGCTCCAAAATGTTCCTGCTTGTGCTGCTATGGTCCTGCTTCATTCTGTTTCAAACCGCAACCCAGCAACAGCCACCGTTTTCGAAATATATCGATTTCCATTTTGGTTGCTAATTTTAGCCTTGGCAACACATTGGAAGCAGGATCGCTAAAACACGTTCCTGCTTGTACTGCTATGGTCCTACATTAGCCTGCTTCCAATCTGAACCCGGCAATACGTACTATTTTCGCGATACAGCGATTCTTATTTTGGTTGATAACTTAACCCTTGGCAACACACTGGAAGCAGGATCCCTCAAACATGTTCCTGCTTGTGTTGATATGGTCCTGCCTCATCCTGCTTCAAGTCACACCCCGGCAACACGTACTATTTTCGAGATACAGGGATTTTCATTAGGGTTCATAACTTCACCCTTGACTTGGCAACACATTGGAAGCAGGATCACTCAAACATGTTCCTGCTTGTGTTGCTATAGTTCTGCCTCATTATGCTTAAAATCACACCCCGGCAACACTTACTATTTTCGAGATATGGCCATTATGGTTGGTAACTTCACCCTTGGTTTGGCAACACATTTAAAATATGATCGCTCCAAAATGTTCCTGCTTGCATTGCTATGGTCCTGCCTCAAACTGCTTCAATCACCACAGCAACACCTTATATTTTAGAGATACACACTGGTAGCCATACAAGAGTCTAGTCGTAGGAACACGGCGAGCTCGAGGCACCGTTGCCAAATGTATCGTAATGAGTGCTTGTCTCTGTATATTGGAATTTTCGACGAAAAGATCTAATCCAAACTATTTCAAACTAATCAAATTCACCCGTACTTTTGTAATGAATGCTAGGCTTTGTCTGTTGGTATTTTAGACGAGAAGAGCTAATCCAAGCTAATCGAAACTAACCCGTTCTCATACTAATTGCTAGTCTTTGTATGTTGGTATTTTAGACGAAAAGAGCTATTCCAATCTAACTCGTCCTCGTAGTGAATGCTACCAGTGTGTATCTCAAATATATTAGGTGTTGCTGGGGTGGAAACTGAAGCAGAATGAGGCAGGACTATAGCAACACTAGCAAGAACATGTTTGAGCGATCCTGCTTCCAATGTGTTGCCAAGGCCAGGGTGAAGTTCTGAACCATAATGAAAATACCAGTATCTCGAAAATAGTACGTGTTGCCGGGGTGTGATCTGGAGCAGGATGAGGCAGGAACATGTTTGAGCGATCCTGCTTCCAGTGTGTTGCCAAGGGTGAAGTTAGCAACCAAAATAAAAATCGCTGAATCGCGAAAATTGTACGTGTTGCCGGGGTCAGATTTGAAGCAGGATAATGCAGGACCATAGCAGCACAAGCAGGAACCTGTTTCAGCGATCCTGCTTCCAATGTGTTGCCAACGGTGAAGTTAGCAACCAAAATGGAAATTGATATATTTTGAAAACGGTGGCTGTTGCTGGGTTGCGGTTTGAAGCAGGACGAAGCAGGGCCATAGCATCCCAAGCAGGAACATGTTTTAGCGATCCTGCTTCGAATATGTTGCTAACTTTCCCGACATCGATTATGTATTCATGTCTGGAGCTTTTCATTTGACAGCAACATTGAATTTAAACGGAGATTAAATTTAACCAGAGATTAAATTTAACCGGAGATTAAATTTAACCGGAGATTAAATTTAACCGGATTTTTTAATCATGAATTAAATTCAAAGTTGGTTTCAAATGATAGAAAAACTGAGTTCAAGAATGTATGATCAGTTTTACTGTAAAATTAACCGTTAAGGTCTTAAGGGCCCCACACACTACGATGAAACTTGACGGTTTCCATCGCCGCGATGAAACACGTCGTTCCAAAACCGAAGTGTGTGGTAGAAAAACATGACGGTTTTCTACGACACACTTCGGTTTTGGAACGGCGTGTTTCATCGTGGCCTGTACGGCCCTTTACAGTCTGTCAAAGATGCGAAAAATTCAATTTCCAACTGTCAATACTTCCGAAACAGTTGAAGATAAGTATAAGACATTGTTCATGAAATATGTCTAGAATTTTCCGCAGAATCTAGAATTGTCATGTCATAATATACAGGGGGTACTTACCATTTAGAAAAATAAAGTTGATAACGGTCCAGCTTTTCTTCGAACAGCCTGTATGAAAAAGTTGTTGTGAAAAAATGTTAAGCAAAAAACGAAATCGACGTGTCCGAGCGCTTTTTCGAAAAGACCCCTTTTGGGCAACGCTGGCTGTATCGCTTTTCTTTAATGATATACAGGGTGTTCCTAAATATCATGTAGGGGGTAATTCTTTGGTTTATTTTATGACTTACATTTCCAATAAACATAGGTCCGCAAACGCTTCGTTACCGATCTACAGGGTGTTGACATTTTGTCTATTTAGCACCTTCGAATCCTTCAAGTGATTGTGTTCTAGAATACTTCTAGTTATAACTTTTTCTGGTCCCAACGTCCACACTTTTGCTCTGCAAGTTTTAAAGGCACAACGCCAAAATGACTCGCCATTTTTTAAAACTTTGGAGAAGAAAAACTTTGCACCTTCTGAAACCAGAACTTCCTTTCCTCGTTCACTATACTCTATACTCAAAAATTGTATTCATAATGAATAATCGTTAATTTCAATCTCAATTTAAACTTCACTACAAGCACCTTCACAG